TGCCTGAAAGCTTTCTAGGTATTGTTTAAGACTGATTTGATGATAAATCAAGGATGATTAACAGTACCTTCCTCTATTCTTCTACTTATTATGTAAAAGTGCAATGGCCTCAGTAGCATTGTGGCATGCCTTCACCCCGGCCTCTTGAGGATAAGAAGACAATTCAGATGTTGCATGCTTGTGGAACTGAGTCATGTTACAGTCAAGGAGCTGATTTCTCCCTTTAAAAACTAAAAAAGGAAAGTCAGATGAGATGATGAATATCTGGCCTCTGGTTTTAGACACTGATAATCTTCTGAGGCATTTCATTCCAAAATGCACTTAAAATAAAAAAAGCAAAGAAAAAGTCATTTCTCTCTCCTTCCTGAGGCACTGTCCTGAATGTTTGCTTAGACTTCTTTTCCTTGGGATGTGGCCAGCAGATAACTGCTTTTAGGACTGTTTTGTCCAAGTCTATAGATCCAGGGAAGAGCTGCTATTCACAAGGACTAACACAAATCTCCTCCTATGGCCAAGGGAAATAGGTGCAAGTTAGACCCTTCTTTCACTACATAGACAGATTAATCTCCTTACTTAGTTTAGCAAGACCTCCATTGCTTGTGAACAGCGGTCAAATCAAGTTGTTTTAATTGGCCTGAGGGCTGGAGTCCCAGGGAAAACCCAGTAAAACATCATACACATAATAATGTCAAGAGGCTTCTTGCTCCGTTTTTTCCACAAGAAGGACACTAGTGTTCATCCTCCCGCTCTGAACTTTTGAGAGGTATTTCCATTATTTGAATACTAATTCCATTATTAGTTTTTGGCTTCCCCTTCTGAACTGTTTCCAGATAGACAGACAATATACCAGATAGATTATTTCAGCTGGAAGGGACCTACAATGATCATCTAGTCCAACTGCCTGACCACTTCAGGGCTGACCAAAAGTTAAATCATGTTGTTAAGGGCATTGTCCAAATGCCTCTTAAACGCTGACAGGCTTGGGGCATCGACCACCTCTCTAGGAAGCCTGTTCCAGTGTTTGACCACCCTCTCGATAAAGAAATGCTTCCCAATGTCCAGTCTGAACATCCCCTTGTGCAGCTTTGAACCATTCCCTGGATACCAGGGAGGAGAGGTCAAGAGATTTTTTAAAATCAGTCTATTGCAATCATATACAAACCAGAATATTTGTAAAGCAGACTAATCCAAAGATTTAAAATAGCAAATTTTTCTAGCAAATTTCTGTGAACCTGCATTTCACCTACTGTAGCAGAAAATTTTATGAGGGTTAGGCATCTTCAGCGAAGCAAAAAAAAAAAAAAAAAGTTAGTTGTTAAAGGAAGAAAAAAAGAAGTTGAAAGAGTAAAGTGTTTTTGCAATTGGAACCTGAAAAAAGCAGATTCCCAAAGATACGTTAAAAGAGAAATGAACAAATTTGACCAATTTAAGCATAAGAAAGCTATGAATTTACAGACATAGAATGCAACAAAATCGATCAGGTGAAATTGTTGTTGTTAATCTTGGAAAAAAGTTAAAGTTGCATACCTTTCATAAGCTAAAACTGTTTAAGAGCTTTAGATAAAAAAAATTTTATAGGCACATCACATCGCAGAGCTAAGTTACAAAACATCATGTAAAGTATGGATACAACAAAACGCAAACTTTATCTCTTACCTTAACACGGCAATAGAGTGCATTTGCAATGGTAATTTATAGTTCCTCAGTAAAATTAGGAGAAAGAGTCCTCCCTAGTCTATGACATTGCCTTGCACAAGAGTGGAAAAGCAGTTGTCTCTTCTCCTTCATTTGTTTTCAGGGTTTTGAGGTTTTGTGAGTATCGTGGTTTAACCCCAGCCAGCAACTAAGCCCCACACAGCCGCTCGGATCCAGTGGGATGGGGGAGAGAATCAGAAGAGTAAAAAGTGAGAAAACTCGTGGGTTGAGATAAAGACCATTTAACAGGCAAAGCAGAAGCCATATGCACAAGCAAAGCAAAGCAAGGAATTCATTCACTACTTCCCATCGGCAGGCAGGGGTTCCGCCAGCTCCCGCGGACGAGGGCTCCAAACTGTTACTTGGGAAGACAAACAGCATCACTCCGAATGTCCCCCCCTTCCTCCTTCTTCCCCAAGATTTTTATACACTGAGCATGATGTTACGTGGTGTGGGATATCCCTTTGGTTAGGTGGGGTCAGCTGTCCTGGCTGTGTCCCCTCCCAACTTCTTGTGCACCCCCAGCCTACTTGCTGGTGGGGTGGGGTGAGAAGCAGAAAAGGCCTTGACTCTGTGTAAGCACTGCTCAGCGGTAACGAAAACATCCCTGTGTTATCAACACTGTTTTCAGCACAAATCCAAAACATAGCCCCATACTAGCTACTCTGAAGAAAATTATCTCTACGGCAAACAAAACCAGCACAGTGGGTCATGATTTCAACTCCCTGCAATCACAAGGGCTAGGGATGGTCTCGCTATCACCGCCTTTCACCTATAAAGCCAATGAGGGTTTGATTATAGTTGGCTGAGAAAAATAAACCAGCAAGAGGCAATATCATTTACTTCCTGCTCCTATTAGTAGGAGAGGTTTCTGGCAGAGCTGTTAATGCTCGTGTTTAAGGCCATGCCTTACCAAAGCTCCCGGATGTCACCACTGCAGCCTGCTGGCATCCAGGATGCTGCCTCCAGGTGAGCTCCTGATACTCCAGCACTGTTTGACCATGCTGCTCCCAGCCAAGAACAAGATGACAATTCTGTTTGCTTTAGCATTTCTCAAGTAACAAGGCAGAGTTGAGAGCAAATCTTCAACAACAGCCTGTCAACGATGCTGTACCTGCCTATTCCAAAAGTCTCGGTTTGGGGACCACTCGCTCACCTCTCATTTAGAGAGAAAAGCCAAGGCAGGAGAGTGCACAAAGAAGGCAGTGAGAGGAGCTACCCAGAAAACAACCATGCAGTAATGTCTCCCCATCCCTTGTGAAGCTGCTACCTATTGCCAGCTATAACATAGGCACAGATCTGGGGACCAAGGACATGCCACAGGAGGGACAGCTGGGGAATTGCATGCCCCCTGCCCCCTACTCAGAGAACAGAAAATGACCCCTTTTCCACTCAGCTGCTTTTTGAAAGCTAATAGAGAAATGAAGTGGCATAATTTGCTTTTCTCAAGGAGTTTTAACTCCCTTCTCTTCAGCACCTCTGCAGGTTAAGTTAGTTGAGAGGTGCGACCCATGCCTCCCCTTCCCACCCGCCTGCCACAGCAGGGAAAGGAGAGGAGCCCACATGTCCCAGCCCTGTGTGCTTGCAGGCACAGCACCCAAGCAGAGGCCAACTTGGCAAGACAAGTTATGATCTCAGCTGCACTGAGCATTTTTATGAGGATCTCTAGCTGGGTTTTTGTTTTCTTCCTTGTTTTTAGACTCCGGTCCCATCCTGTTTGGTTTGGTGATCTCTGGCACACACTGTAGGCAAATCCACCAAAACACAGGCTGTTCCAAAAAGGAGTGGGTTTGTTTATATGTTATATAGCAGTTATCTGCAAAACACTCATTTATTGTCTTTTCATCTCTCTCTGCAATCTCTATGCGTTATTTTGGCCACATACATCAGCTATATTGGAATTACAGGGAGAATCACAGAATTGCAACTCAGCGGAAAAATAATAGAAGACCCTGGCTCTCCAAGTTTTATTGCTTTTTAATGTGAATTTATAACAAGCATTCTGGGCTATTTGCTAATTCTCCAGATAATATTATCAGTAATAATTTTTTTAATGTATTTACTCTAGGAATTAGTTTAGTTTGATCACTGAGAATCTCTCTGCTTCGCTTTGGTATAGACTTTCACACATTAAACACAGGAGACCACTTTTCAGTCTGAAGTGGAGAGAAAAGTCTGTACAGACTTTGATACACAACTTCCCTGTGAATGTAGTGCCAGAGTTAAAAGAAACCCACTTCTCACAGCATCTTGCAATTCTGCTTACCGCGTAACACTTCGATGTATTTCTCCCACCATCACTCACTGCATCCTCTGTAGAGAGGGAGACAGACCCCAGAACATAAATTGCTTAGTTTGGCCCCCAACCCCATTTTTCATACATTCAAGAATAAGCAAGACCTTTTTAAAATCAATGGACTCTACATAGCATTTATAGACAACAGATTATACTCCCTATTCTAGAAGGGCTGCTGAATGCCTTAGGTGGTCGTGACTATAAAAATATTCCACATCAAAAGCCACCATATGGCTTTCTAGAAACCTTCTGCTCCATCACAGTGTGGTAGCCTGACATTTCACTGCTTTGTCTGCTTCCCAGCATGACATGCGCTAAATCTAAGAAATGGCTTGTGTGTCTATTCATGTCTCCATTCAGCACTATGCCCGCTCTCCTCTACTTCCTCCTGCATTTAACATTGTAGGATAAAGAGACGTGTATGGCATTAGGAAATATTTCTCCCACAGCACTTCTTTGGATTTGCCTTCTCTTTGCTTGCTTGGCATCAGGGAATTTTTCTCAAGGACAGTTTTGCACAAGTAGCTGTGTTAAGCTCTGTTCATACTGCTTCAGGACAGAGATACAATATTCAAACACGAGCTTTGGAGTGAGGATCACTGCACTAAGTAATGAGAGATTTTAATGGATGCCCTGAAGACTCTAAAGATAGAGAAATGTAAGAGGTATTACATTTCAGTGTATATCTCCAACACAACCTCATGCCTTTTCCATTTCAAAAGAAAAGATATTAGCAAGTTGTCTGGTTTAGGAGCATCAGTTCATGGAAGGACTGGGAACTTACCGTACTTCCGTGCTGCTTTTTTCAATAAACACAGAACAACTGCAGGGGTAAAAGCGAACTGCTACGTCTGTTCATGAACATAATTGCTCTGTTTTCTGTTCCAGCTCATCCTTGCCACGTGGGAAGGAGGCTACAACTTGCAGTGCCAGAACCTCCACAGCGCAGGGGAGGCCGACATCCGGGTGAGAGACAGCAGCAGCTCAGCCCCCAGCATCCGCGGCAGTCCTTCCCTCGCGTCCTCGGTCGACACTTCTGCCTTCACGGCAGTTACAAGGATGTTACTGATGACATCTTTAACGTGAGGGTTTTAATCAAGATGTCTGACAGCTGGTAGCAAACAAGAAGTGTTATCTTTCTGATTCAATACAGATGCATCCTTGCTGTAGAAAGCATGACAGGGAGTATTTTGAAAAGCCATATATCAAGATCTGTGATCAAAACAGTGTTGCCTTGGCTATTAAAACAGAGAATATGGATCATTTAAAAACATGGAACAAAAATCAATCATCTAAAATGTAACACTTGTTGGGCTGTAGCTGGAAATGGATTTAAGCCCAACTCTAAACTCTGGAAAACTGCAGAGACATTTTGCTGGCTTGGCTCATCTCTAGTTTCCATCCTTATTTCTGCATCACAGCAATTCCATGTATTAACCCTCTGTCATTCCCCACATCAGGCTTACTTTCCAGATAACGTCAGAGCTTAAGGACAGAAAGATTGGTTAACTCATATAATCTTCCCCAACCCTCAAAATTTGTCTGTGTTATGGCCGGAAAAGGTCAGTTAAATACCTTTTCCCATCAACAAGGTGTTTTCCCCCTTTCTGTTTTAACTGTCTTTAAGTGTCCTGGGACATATCCTGAGCTCTGATAAAGTGTCTCAACTCTAGAGAAGGGTATATTCCATTGTGTTGAGTGTCAAATTTAGATTATTTAGAAAGAAGCATCTGCCAGAATCTGTTCGGTGCCACGAAAGTATAAATGGTAGCACTAAAAAAAAAAAACCCTCCACAAAGCCACCCACAGAACTGTATTTTTGCTGAAAAAAACAACAATAAGGAAACCCTTCCTCAAAGTTTATATTTCTTGAATTGTATTTAGATAATTATATATTTATATAATCACATTAAAATTGATGCGTTTTTTCTAACCTGCTTCATAAATAAAATTGAAGCCAGAGCTTGTGCTCCTCCTTTAATAGGACATTAGGAAGTTGCATGCCTAGGGACTGATGAAGTACAGCAATATTTAAGCCCTTTTACGGACAGATATTGATCTCCTGCTCCTTTGTTCTTGCTTGTGCAGGTAGCCGAGGTGCTGTGGTGGTATTATTTTTCCAAAGTAATTGAATTCATGGACACTATCTTCTTTGTACTGAGAAAGAAAAGCAGCCAGATCACCTTCCTTCACGTGTATCACCATGCCACTATGTTTAACATTTGGTGGTGTGTTCTGAACTGGATACCTTGTGGACAAAGTAAGTCTGTGTTTGCTTCGTCACTGGGGTATAAGTCACCTGTTGCTGGAGAAGAATTACATCACCATGCAAAGCAAGTGTATCACTGACAGCATCGTTAACTTTCATAGCCTTTCAGAACTGCCGAACACCTGCAGATCGCAGTAAAATTAAAAGCATAGTTAAAAGTTCAGGGCAAAAAAATATCTGAGTGTTAGGCCCTAGATTTTCCACTTAGCTGCCACAAGCCCTCGTATTTACTTCTCTTCAAACCACTTTTAGACAGGGTAACGCTGCTTAGTAGTACACATGAGCGATCACATACAAGACCTACTCCAAGAGCAGATGTAGGAGGAAATCATGACCCTAGTAAATTCAGTGTCAGTCACGACAAATGAACTCAATAGCATTTTTACAAGTTTGACTCCTGTATGCATCAATCTAACATTCTGCTTTAGCAAGATACTTTACTTACATAATCGCTAATTAAAACACCAGTTTGTTTTGTTTTAAATGAGAATACATCTCATTCAAGTAGTAGAACTACTGGACAGCCAGAACTGATCGATACGGTCTTACATTTCATATTGAAATAGCAGAAGTAGCAGCAACCTTTGCCTTATTATATTTTGCATTCAACACGTTTCACAACAGTAATCTCTAAACAACGTGGCTCTTAGGAGGATATTGCAACTGTCGTCATCTCCCGTGTTGAGGTGGGGAAGATGTACGGTGCCACAGGCTGCTCACTTGGCATTTGTATACTAAGTCCAAACAGCAGAGAACTGCTTCAGGTGTCTCACGTGCACACTTTTCCAGGGCTTCATACAGCCGGAGGCTTCCTATGGGATTGCTATCAGAGTTGAGAAGAAAATCAGTTTTCTTACTTTGAGCTTTTAGAAGGGAGTCACCTCAGTCCACTGTAAGATTTTGTAAAGCAACTTGTTGCAGGTGTTTTTCAGAACAAAAAGCAGAATTCACATTTGTTGGGACTTATTTTGGACAGCACAAAAATCAAAGTAAATCACTGTTATAGGTAGAAGCAGAGATCAAGGATTTCATTGCAATTACAAGCTATTTCTACAGAGGCACAAACAAATTAGCAGGGGTTTGTGCTTTCTATTGTGTCTGAACATATTCCCCACATTTTGCACTACCTTTCCACTATCATAATTAACAGAGTGGAAAAATCAGTAATTAAATAATTAATCCGTAATTATTAATTAATCAGTGGACAAATCAACACAATTGGTGAGACCATCTTGTAGTTGTCAAGCACTGCCAAACACATGAGCATACAGCAGATAGAGTAGTGCTGCTACTTCTCAATAGCCTGTAAAGTACAGAGGGCAATTCATTTGCTCTAGAATTAGTATTTACGAAGTGTAGGTAATTAGAGTGGCAAGGTATTATCTGGGGTGAAATTCTGGAAATCTGCATCTAGCAGAAGAGCCACTGAAGAAAATGAGAGCGGTGCTCAAACACAGCCACACTAGGCTAGTTTAATTCAGAGTAAAGCCCTTACTAGCGCATCAGGGAGAGGGAGAGCGGGTGCCTCCCAGGGCCCTAAGCTACGGTACCAGCAGCACAGTCACCCACAGCAGTGTTTAAAGCTTACAGCAATAATGGAGAGACTCATGCAAAGAAGAATGTTTAGGAGGGAAACAAAAGCAATAACCTGTAAACTACAGAATGAAAAAGTGGAGAAAATGAAAAATACGGGATGAAAATACAATATTCAGCATGAGAAAAATCCTATAGGAAGTATCATACAGTTTGTCAGTTGTCCCTAGGACAGCATCTCTTCACGTCGGGAATGTCTTTAGCAAAGGATAAGCACAGAGGGAAAACTTACAGTATGCAGGAGACATTGCTAACAGTAATATCTTCTCTCACTTTTTCACAGTTGGTATATAAAATGTTTCCCTTGTTGGATTTTTATAGGTTTCTTTGGACCCACTTTGAATAGTTTTATCCACGTGCTCATGTATTCTTATTACGGACTGTCAGTCATCCCTTCTATGCGCAAGTATCTGTGGTGGAAGAAATACCTCACTCAGGCACAATTGGTATATATCTATTTTAATCTCATTTTTAACAATCAGAAATCCTTCACAATACCAGAGTTGAATGGTAGATAAATATTGTCATTTGCAGAATTAAGCCAGTTAAAATTCAAATATAACAAAACTATCATATAGAATAAGTCACTAGTACAACTTGTATAACTTAATAAAGGAAACAATGCTCAGAAATATTTTCTACAATACAGTAGAAACTCTACAGTCCATAAAGTTCCACTATTTTTGAGCTCTTGCATAGACATTGCTTAATCACAGCGAATGGACTGACTAAAAATTTATAAAAACTGTCTGACAGAGTCAACTTCAGCCGGCTCCAAGATGGACCCACCGCTGGCCAAAGCTGGTGGCACCTCTGTGTTAACGTATTTAATAAAGGGTAAAAAATGCTGCACAACAGGTGAGAGAGAGGAGTGAGAAAATGTGAGAGAAACAGCCCTGCAGACGCCGAGGTCAGAGCAGAAGGCGGGGAGGAAGAGCAGAGATTCCCCTGCAGCCCGTGGAGAAGACCATAGTGAAGCAGGTTGTCCCCCTGCAGCCCGTAGAGGACCACAATGGAGCAGATATCCACCCTGCAGCCCGTGGAGGACCCCACGGTGCAGCAAATGACATGCCTTGAAGGAAGCTACAGCCCATGGAGGACCCCACACAGAAACAGGCTCCTGGCAGGAGCTGCGGCCTCGGTGACAGAGCC